CAGAACACTGGTGTTAATAAATGCTATAACAAAGTGTACATTCAAAGTAAGGGGGTGGTATGGCTCAGTGGTAGAGTGTGTGCTTAGCATGTATGAGGTCCTGGATTCAATCCCCAGTACCTCTATTAAAAACAAACAAACAAACCCAATTACCTCCCCTCCACCAAAAAAGAAGAAAAAAAAAGTCCAGTGAAGTAAATGGAGGCAACAAGGAAGCAGTGAATCTATGAAGCTTTCAAAGAAAGAGATGCTCTTGAGTTGTGACCTCAGGGGTCGAAGAGGGGATCATCAACAGACAGGGGAGGGAAAATCTGCTCGGCAGGGCCTTGGCCCTGGACATAGATGAATCATGTTACTGCACCATAGGGGCGTCTGGCCTGATTCCTTCTTACTTATCCTGCCCCACTTCAGAGCTTTCAGCCTTCCAAATTCAGATGAGATCAGACAAACAATCCAGTTATTATAGTTCGGGTACAGGCAAAGCTTCCGTAACAAAGCACACAAACACAGGTACACAAAGCAAACAAGCAGCAATGACTAAAAAGGAAATACGTTCATTCCTCTTTCATACAACATTTCGAAAATGAGTGGCCCAGTGTTGGCAGGGTGGCTGGGCCACCGTTGCACACGACTTTCAGATGCTACATTTTGCAGCTAGCAGGAAGGCAGAAAGAGGCAGCTCTGGGAAAGTATCTTCGCCTTTAAGAAGACGACCAAGACATTGCATCCAGCATTTCTGTCCGTATCCTGTTAGTTCAGATTTTGTCACGTAGCCACCCTTAAGGTGCAAGGGAGGCCGGGATATTTAGCCTCTGTCTGGATAGACCGTAAACAGCTGAAACTTGGGGGCTTCTAGTTGCTAAAGGAAAACGGGAAACAGAAGTTCTGAGGAAGAGAGATGGTTGTCTCTGCATACAGTTTACCAGCCTTTATGTCATAATGTAACATGGTGCTTTCATAAACAAACAACTCTTTCCCTGAGCAGACTCTACAGATACTAAATGGAGCATTCACCTATGGTTGCTTCACCACCATTAATGTGATCTACTATTTTTGTAAAAGCATATCCCATGGAGTATTTGCAACAACATCCATGTACTTGTTACTGTTTCTATACATGATAGTCTTTGATTTCTGCAAAAAAAAGAGACACTTTTCCAGAGTTTGTATACTGTCTCGCTTCACCAATATAAAACTATTCTTGGCTTGCTGTCCTCAATTCACTTAGTTCTTAAAGGACAACTAAGTCATGATTATCACGTATTTGTTCTCTTTTGGCTTCACTTAAATGTTTCTTGAATGCCTAATGCCCACAACAGAGCACTAAGCATTTATATGCATTTCAAAGTTCCATTTGTTGGTTTCTCTACTCTAGGACTAACTGAAGTGTGGGAAAGGAGCTTGATCACTGCATTATCAGAGTCAAAATAGAATTAACATTTGGAAATAATATATTTTAAAAACCAAATGGCAATATCAAAGAGAAGAGAAGAGTCTCATGAAGGAAATGGTCGCTTATGTCCCTGTCGTCTACATTTCTGGAGAGTAGGGACTTCTTGAGTTACCTTCTTCAGGACCTTTGCTGTGGAACCTACATCAAGTCTTTTTAGGTTCATAGGAAAATGGATCATCCATGGCACTTTCTGTTTTTTTCATGAATTTTGGGGCTACTTTGCAATTTGCTACTCATAGTCTGTTAACTTACAAAAGAGAGATAAGAGAAAAATTGCTGTTCTTTTGATTTCTCTGTGTAATGCCATTTTTCTTTTTCTTAACCCGATGCCATCATCTTTGTCTTTATTTATGGAATATCCTTGGATGGCAAAAAAAAAAAAAATCACGTTTGGTCCCTCCAGGGCCTCCTTCCCCCATTAGACATCTGGCCCTTATTTACGATACTTTGATGTATTACAGTCATGTTATCCAGTTACTTGCTCAGTGTGGATATCTGATTTGCGATGATCTGAAAGTTATTAAGGGTGTTTTGCACGGGACTCCCTCTCTGCCCACCCCTCTGAAGTTGGTGTCGTCTTTCTCCACTGGGAATAGCCACCAAGATTATCCTGGCCAGCGTGCCTCACAGTACAGAGGAAGCCAAAGGAGCTGTCTGGCACAGCATCTCAGTTCCTCTGCCCTCCGTTTTCCCATAACATTATGCCCTTTACAGCTCAGTTAAGTTTACTTCCGATATTTTTTCCTCACAAATCAATACACATCCTCTTTACTCCATCTCCTCTTTCAATCGTCCAGTCTTTGTCAAGATACTGCAGAAAAACCTCTCTTCTCTATTTGCATGTCATAGGAGTCAGAAAAGAACTCACTGCTGACATTAAGTAAATTATATGAGCAAAACACATATATCCAGAAAGAAAATGACAGAACTATTTATTTTTTAAAAAGAAAAGTGCCAGCAAGCTATAAAGTGTTCAAAAGTGCTTATAAGCTATGCAAAATCCTCTAATTCCCTAACTCTTCAACTGAGGCTTGGTTTCCTTTAAGCATTATTTACTTAAGATACACATGTATGAAATATGTATATATTTATTTCATTAGTTATTTCATTCACATTTTACTTAGTTCCATAACACGAATACTGTGCCTTATTAAGTTTCCATTATTTCAACCATTTATTGGTTAAGAATGTCTTCGTGGGGGAGGGACTCCCCATGATTTGGGTTATTATTTCTGTGGGAAATAAAATATATTCTTAGTTCAAAAAAATTAAACTACAAGTAAAGTTTAATTTTTTAAATTAGCTTAAGTTGAATATGTCTTATATATGCTGTTATTTTCTTGAAGAAAAACTAATATCTCGGTGGGGAGAGTATAGCTCAGTGGTAGAGCATGCACGAGGTTTCAATCCCCAGTACCTCCATTAAAAAAAGAAAAACCTAATTACCTACCCTCATTAAAAAAAGATTAAAAAATAAAAAGCAAACAAAAACAAATAAAAAGACCAGTATCTCTAATCAACATGTTCCCTGAGTCAGATAAAAAGAGAACAAATCATGAGGGAAGAGGCTCATTATTTTAATACATTTTTTCTAATAAGTAGAAAAAATGCAGTAGGAGCAAGAAGATAAATGAGGACATGTTGTCTGTTAGTTCGTTTAGCTTAGTGATGTTTGCTTTGCAAGAGCACTGGCTAGGGTGAGGTAATTCACTGTAATTAGAGCTGCCAGTGGCAGGTGGGTGATTCAGAGAAAGGCATTTGTCAACAGCCTCTGCTTCAGACAGTGAGCAGGAGAAAAACTGAGATCTCACTGCAGTGCTGGCTTGCCTGCCTCCAAATGAAATAGGCAGAGTTTGTCTTCATCCTCCTTTTATGCCTTTTGGAGCCCTTTCCCTGGCCTTGTCCTTGTATCCTTTCTGCACTTGGCCTCTGAGCTGCCCAGGATGTTCTGTGTGCCCCGCCCCACCTTCTCTGCAAAGGCCCAGACTCTGAGTCTCTCTTCAAACAGTACAGGCTTCTTTCCTGGACTGTAAATTGCACAAGTGAGAACGACATCTTTTTCCTGTTGTCCACGATGCCTAACGGAGTGCCTTTCACACAGCCAGCATGTAGTAACTAAATGAGAGAATGAGTGACTGTAAGAGACTAGCACTCATTCTGCTCTGTTCCTTATTAAGATTTTACTTTTTGGTAGGAGAAAAATGTATTACATCTTCGGGAAGTATTTATATCTAAACTGGGACAATCCATTAATAACTCGAAGTGGAAAAGGACTTTTAACAGTGCAGTTTCAGCTGTTAGAAACAAGCAGGGGCAGGGAGAGACATCTGATTTAGTGAACCTCAGAAAATGTAGTACATTAGTTGTCATGATTCGCCTGGTTAAGAACAACCGACCTACCTGGATTCCAAACGTTCCTTATTGCTAACCTCCCATAAGACTGTGGGAAAGAGAAGTTCATTTGATATTTACTGCTATCTTTGCGTGTGGGGAACTCTATCTAGAGGGAGGAAAAACTTGATAAGCATCATCTACGCATGTAGCTCCATGATCCTAGAAGTGGTGAAATCATATTAATGATAATAGTTATCATTATTGAGTGCCTGGTATATACTAAGCATTTTATGTACGTTATTTAATTTATCCAACCAAACAGTGGGCATTATTTTCACTTTGCTGATGAAGAAAGGGAAGTTCAGAAGGAGGATGGACAACATTCTGTCTCAGTGATGTGCGTCTTATTCTCCGTGAAATTCTTACCCCTCCTCAGGTCAGAGTCTTAAAGAAAAGGCAGATCAGCTTGCATGCTTATACTCCACAGTGGAAATTTGGGTATAAGGAATAGAGGGGGTATGAAAATACAGTATTCTCTTGTAGAAGAAAAGGAACCACTAATACCTATTTTGATATCAGATCTGGTCATTGGTTTAATGCCATCTAAGGTATTCCTGTTAATATGCACGCGGTTGACTGTTCTTTTCAAAACCATCTTCAAGCTGTAAAAAAGGGCTCCTATGACATGGTGTCTGCTCTGCTTGAACACAACACCAGCCTGGACCAGCCCTGTGTCAAGCGATGGTCGGCAATGCACGAAGCAGCCAAGCAGGGCCGCAAGGACATCGTAGCCCTGCTGCTAACCCGTGGAGGCAGTGTCCACCTGAGAGACGGGTTTGGAGTCACACCGTTAGGTGTTGCTGCCGAGTATGGTCACTGTGATGTGCTGGAACACCTCATCCACAAAGGTACACGGAAAGAAGCTGCGTGGTCCAGATGCGTCCCCTACCTCTCAGATTTCCTTTTCTCCGTTCCTGACTGAATGTAAGGTGGGCCATCGGGCTTTTGTAACCAGCCCTCAGTAGCCCCCTGCTGGGTAACTCACTTAAACCCTCTCCATGGTGGCCTACAAATCGGCAGGCCCAGCCCTGACCGCTCTCTCTAGAGACAGCGCACTTTTCACACAGATGGCTCACCAAGGTCTCACACTCATCCTCTCCTAAATTGAATTCATCTTCTTTCACGCTTTTCATTGAATAATTTCTCTCAGCGAAGATTGAGAGCTTGGATTTCTCTCTAATTCGTCCATCACCTTCTTTTTCAAATACAGTCAGCTGCCTTGTGCTATAACAACCCCCTCTCACCTGTTCTCACCTTGGCGGTCCCTCTGCTCTGCATCCTCCCATCTTGCCTGGACCAGGGCAGTTGTTTCCTGACCCTTCTCCTGGGTTCCAGTCTCCCCATCTGAGGACCCACACTAACACTGTCACTCAGCTGCTCTCCCTCAGGGTGAGCTACAGTCCTGGAAACTGTACAGAAAATCCTCAGTGGGTCCCTGCGGCCCACTGGATCACGCCCAGGCACCCCCTGCATCACCCCGAGTTGCCTTTCCGGGTTTATCTCTCAGTGCTCCTAATTGTGTATCCTGTACTCCAGCTGAGTTAGCCTAGCAGTATTCCCAGATATACCCCACATTCCCCGTGTCTGGGTTTGGGCCAGGCCCCTGCCCGCATCTGGAGTACCTTCCAGCACAATTCAGAGTCAATCTCTGGAGATTCTTCCTCCCTGAAGACTTTCCTAATTCTCCCCAACAGATTGTGACATCACCTTCCTTTGAAGCCTCCAAGTGCCTTAAACAACTACAGAAACCAGGAATTAAGAGACCGATTTAAATTGGCATCTGCCACTTCCTCGTTGTCTGACCCTCGCCTAGTTACTTAAACATCTATGCCTCTTACTCGTCTGTAAATAAAGGCTACCTCCACATAATCCTCAAGGCTCCTCTATGGGGAAAAGACTAACATTTCTGAGGAACCCCCCCAAATGCAACTTCATTAATTAGCAAATAAGCCGTATGAAATAAGCCACATACTCTAGTTTACGGATGAGGAGTTGGAGGTTCATAGCCGTAAGTCGCCCACCCCAAATTCTCCCAGTCAGCAACAGACCGCTTTCCCCTACGTCATGCCTTCTAGTCCTGATGTCACTTGAATATTACACGGTTTGTGTTCTTTGATGATATTTGGTTTCATTTCCCCTCTAAGCTTCTTAAGATAGATTTATTCATCTTAGATTTTCTGCTGGGTCACACACAGTAGTCGCACATAGAGGGCAGTTGATAAATATTTGTTGAAATGAAACAGAGTGTCACTTGCTGTCTTTAAAAGTCTAACTATACCTTTTTCTGGCAGCATTTGCCTGTCATGGAAATGGACTTGTTGATTTCTTCAGTGTTCTTGTAACGGAAAGATTTTCTGACAAGTGGAACATGATGCATGATTGTTTAGTGAAAAGACAAAACACAGATTTCTTAATTCTGTACTTTTACTTTCAAGTCTTAACCAGAAAGGAAAACAGCAGGTTATTTTTACGGGGACTATCTTGACAATCAGTCCAGTTACCACTCTGCCACGTGTTTTATACTGCCAGGAGGTGACGTGCTTGCTTTGGCGGATGACGGGGCATCCGTGTTGTTTGAGGCAGCAGGAGGGGGCAACCCCGACTGCATCTCCCTCCTGCTGGAATATGGAGGAAGTGGAAATGTACCTAACAGAGCAGGGCATCTTCCTATACACCGAGCTGCCTACGAGGGACATTATCTGTAAGTAATAAATCATAAGATGATCATTTCAAGTTGAAAAATACAAAATGATATATACAGTATAATCCTAAATCTGTTTGCACACCTCTTGAAAATCCAAAAAGAAAAAGGCAAAATGTTCGTAAGTTTTGTATATCTAAATATATCTTTGAGTTTCCCCTTTGTTTTATATCCTGTACTTAATAAAATTTCCACATTGAATTTATACTATACTTACAATGAAGAGATTTTCTTTTAGAAGAAAGTAAGTTATAAGTGGGAATTCTGCACAAGCCACCCAAATGTACTTTTCTGGTTTTTTAAAAAATATGTTTAGCAAAGAGTTACAGGGTTTCTAAAAATTGCCCCTTTGGCAAAGGATTAAAATTTGTAACAATACTATCAGTATTAGCCCAATTTTACCAATACCTATAGATATTATAACATAATAATATAATTATAATATAATATAATGTCAAATTTATCCTTGAATAAAGAAGTTTTATTATAAATTTAGATTTATTTATTCCCCAAAATTGGTTGAATATATTTTTAAATTACAAAATGTGCCATGACCAACACATCAATAGAAATCTATAATCATTATACTAAACTACCCATCATGAAAGGTTGGTTTTTGGCAATTGAATATATTTCCCAAGTTCAAAAACTTTGAAATCATTAGCCTTTATCACTTTCAGTAGTGGCAGTGGCTAAGTGGCCAATGATGCGTAATTGATGCTAAGTGGCACGTTGTTCAAGTTTAGCTGGATTTACTCCCAGTGTTCATAAATTCACACATAGTAGCTCCGAATTAGGCACAGGGGATCAAGTTATCCCCGCCTGTGGTTCTCATACATGTCCAGTCGGTAAATCAAGTGAGAAATTCACAACTAACGTAACAAACATGAGCTGTAGTTAGTTATCTCAATGGGACTGATGTAAGGTTGAGGAAACAATAGAGACTCTTCTTGTTACTGATAATTCAATTTCAAAGAATATGGAAGCAGTCAGGATGTCCATGGCCAGTATTAAAGCATAGATTGCTCAGGAAGCAGTGAAAGAGGAGTAACAAATGAGAATTCAAGAGGCCTGAATTCTAGTCATTGCTCCACATCTGTGCGACCTTGGACAAATCGTTTCACTTCTCAAGACTTCATATGGCTCTTCTGTTACATAAAGGGATTGGACCAAGTAATGTCCAAGGTCACTTCCAGCTCTAACTTCTGTGACTCCATGACTCTAATGGTCAAGAGTATGAAGCAATCTTCTATGGCATCAGATGGGCTAGCTTTCCTATTTTTTTTTCATTAAAGAGCATTGGTTGATTATAAATATTATGTTGTTCAGAGAAGAGTTGGAAAATGGTGAGGGTTCCTGAGGAACCACAATTCTAGGACCAAATATGTAAGATCCAGCATGTTCCCCAGGAATATTTAGAATGGGAAGAAGCTAAATCAAAACTAAATTCCATTAAACTGAATAGTAGGAAGTCAATGGACGAAGGTTAAATGTTTTGTGTAAGATTATCTAGAGAAAATACAAGAAACTAAACAAAATGAATTCTTTTGTCTAGTGAGGGAGCTGGCTTATTTAATTTCTTGATTTTCTCCATGCCATGTGGATATTTGATTTTTTTTTCAGTGCACTGAAATATCTTATTCCAGTAACATCCAAAAATGCAATCCGGAAAAGTGGGATGACACCAATTCACTCCGCAGCAGATGGACAAAGTGTACAGTGCCTAGAACTGCTTATTGAAAATGGTTTTGATGTCAATGCCCTGCTTGCCGACCACATTTCCGAGAGCTACGATGATGAACGGAAGACTGCGCTGTATTTTGCTGTTTCTAATAATGACATCCACTGCACAGAGCTCCTTCTGGCTGCAGGTGCAGACCCGAACCTCGATCCCCTCAACTGTCTACTTGTGGCAGTGAGGGCCAATAATCATGAAATTGTACGGCTGCTTCTCTCCCACGGAGCTAACGTCAACTGTTATTTTATGCACGTGAACGACACTCGCTTCCCCAGTGCCATTCAGTATGCCCTAAATGACGAGGTGATGCTGAGGCTGTTGCTGAATAATGGCTATCAGGTGGAGATGTGCTTTGAATGCATGCACGGGGACATCTTTGGAAATTCGTTTGTGTGGTCGGACATAGAGGAAGAGGTACTGCCGGGATGGACGTCTTGTGTCATAAAAGATAACCCGGTGAGTTACATCCCTCTCTTCTTCCTACTGGGTCATCATCCGAATGTTTGCTCATTTAGGGATGTTACAAGAAAAGAAAAATCAACTCCAACTTTTGTATTTTTCTTGTTCTTGAGTTTTGCTTGTAGTGATATGGGGAAATAAGCATAAAACTAGGCCAAAAAAAAGATTGTATTTTTCTTTAACTGGAAACTGAATGTAGAAGAATGTGAAAATGTATGCAATTGATAATTTATGCTTATTCGGTGGAATGCTGGGGCTAGAAGCATGGAAAGAAGGATCATGGAAAGTAGCATGATTCTCCCATGTAATGTTGAGTACAATCACATCAAAACCATGCATGCGTCAGGGCTCATAGTTGCACAGATACAGGCAGCTTATTTTTCTTTTTTGTTCGTTACAAGGAGGGTATTTTTAGTTCCTGTAAGAAGACAAGAATAGTAATTTTTCATAACAAAATTGTTTGTGTATGTGATATATTAAAAGTACTGCTAAATTAAATTTTATCGCTTCTCTCAGTTCTGTGAGTTTATTACAGTTCCGTGGATGAAACACTTGGTAGGCAGCGTTATTCGTGTATTAATAGATTACATGGATTATATCCCTCTGTGTGCTAAGCTGAAATCGGCACTAGAAGTACAGAGAGAATGGCCAGAAATCCGTCAAATACTAGGTAAAAGCACAAGTTTTGCCTACAAAAATTTTTATGAAGAATGTATATAGGGGAAGTTTCTTAATGTTGTCTTTGATACTTTTTCAGTGCTACCTTATTTTCAGAATTACCTGGTTTTTTAAAAATCATCCTTAATACTTCCTCTGATGTAAGATACTAATTTCTTGCTTTTTTTTGATACTTTCCAACTCTTTAACTGTGTAATGAATAACACTGTAACTATTTTAACATTCTGACTAGAACTCATTTTTTAAAAGTATAAAGTATATAGATTGTAATCTCCATGTGGGCAGGCATCTGTTTTGCTTATTTCTGTATTCTCAAGGCTTAGCATAATGCCTAGATACTCAGTAAATACTGAGTAAATGAACGAATGGAATGAATTAGAATCATCCTTTTTGATATGCTCTCTCTGGGTCTTTACTGACAAATTCTTACCATCAAAAACCTATTACAAGCAGGCCATTTGTATTCTCTAGCTTGAAGTTTAGTTATAATCTTACAAGTGAATCCTACCATAAAAGTTTCAATACGATGTATCTAAAATTACTCCAAATACAAAAAGAAATTAGAAAAAAAATTGGAAAAGTTTTCTCTTTCAACATATGAGTTTGGAAAATGAGCTTTCAGAACCTACTTGGACATCAATTTCATAGAGCCTAAAGAAGCATCATAGTACTTGACATTGCATTTAAATATTCTGGCACTCTGAATACACCTAAATCAGCCTTGAATGGGATAACAAAACCACAGCAGCCTTTTCTTTAGGATCAGGCAAATTTTATGCAAAGTAGCAGATTATATTTTATAGTCAAAAAGATGAAACTGAAATGTTGAACTGGTTCATGTACCATGTTCGTTACATATAAAGTTCTATAAAAAGAAACATGAATGATATAGTGGTCTTCATCTAAGCACTTTGTTTCAATCAGAGTCTCACACATTAAAGTGTACAATCGGAATCTGGACTACTCTGACCACGATAGCAAAAGATGTAGATGGGCAGAGGGATGGAGACTTTGATTGGCTAGAGTGATAGTTCAGCTTAATGCAGATTTGGAGGTAGGCTTGGATCTTCCTCAAATGGCTCTTCCCCTGGAACTAAAACAGGAACCTTAGAGAACCTAATGGGTAATATTGTACTGTGAACCTAGAAATTGATCTCTGGGGTCAGACAGACTTAGAATGGGATGGGGCTCTGTAGGATTCCTCGGCTGTAGAGTGCATATGTCAATCAGGGCTGATATTTTCATAGAAACAGCGATTTATTGTATCATTTTTGTTTCACTGAGGGGAGGGGAATTTTTTATTTATTGTTAAAAGACCAAGATAGACATACTAA